GAAAAGAGGGTGAAAATTCATGGAAATGTCAGTGATTTGTGCCTTGGAAGTTAAATTTTCTTAAAGATTCTTTTTACGCCCACAAGCAAAACGTTTTTAAAACCTCAGGAGACCCTTTGCAAAGGTGGAGTTTCCGAGGGGGCGGGAGGGAGGCCAGGTAGGAGGGAGGAGACCAGTCCAGGAGCTCCTTCCAATAGCAACAGCTGGCCTCCTGGAACTCTCTCGACCCACCCCTTTTTTGCCTTTGAGAAATAAACGCTCGGAGCGAGTTTACAGCTCACGCCTCGGCCCTCGGGGAGCTCTTTTCGGCCGCCCTTCTATCTTAAACCCCGGCTCACCGACGGTTCGCGAGCTAACGCCATGAGTTTCCAGTTGCTAAGGGTGAGGAGCCGGCAGGGTACCCGAGACTCCAGACACCAGCTAGGCAGAGGATGACCGCTGGCGGTGACCGCGGGCTGGACGGGGCGTCTGCCGGCGCAGGGTCGATGGCGCCGTCGTGCCGCCGCCCTCGCCAGTCCTTGGCCTCAGCGGGCCTCCCTTTCGCCTGGCGGCGACTGAGATAAGTAACTTAAGGCCGCGGGGCTCAGCTGGCCTAGAGGTGTGTGGAAGCCTAGGACCCTAGAAGGCCTCTAGGTATATGGGTCTCCCGCCTGCGCTCGGAGCGGTTTGGTCGCTCGGGGGACCTACCCGGGTACGCCTTGGGTAGGTGACAAGCCAGGGCTACTTTCTAAGTGTTCGAGGGTCCCCGGGGGCAGGGTAGGGCAGTCCCAGGCTTGCCTCCTTAGGGATTCTGTAGTATTTAGGAGAGAGGCCTTAGATACCAGGCAACTTTGCCGCTTGAAGGAAGTTAAAACCAAACACACCTTAGCTGCTCCGGAAGAGAGCCAGATGGGTTTGGTCAACGCTGAGCCAAGGAGTGCGAGTTCCAGACTTGGGACAGAATGGGGTCGCTGGAAGCCTGGTAGATGCAAGGATCCTTAATTCCGCGTCATTTTTGTCTGTTTGTTAAGAGTTGCCAGGTAGGAAGACCCAAGACCGAGAAACTGCTTTGGGCCTCTGCGGCCTTGAGCTAGCCGAGCAGTTCAGGGACCTGAGTGGAGCTGAGGCCCCGGCATCTGGGTATGCGACCTCTTAGCGTGGGGTTTATTTCGCTTATAACTTAAAAATCGATAGGTATTATTTTGGAACACCCGAGGATTGGTGTCAGCAGCACCCCTAGGCTTAGTTCTGGAAGTTCTTTGTATTTTTTAAAGGTATGTGTTCATTTATGTATGTATGTAGTGTTTGTGCACTGTGTGTATGCCAGGGGACAGCTTGAGGGAGTCGGTTATCTCCTCCCACTGTACATCCTGGGGATCCAATTTGTGTTTTTAAACTTGGCAGCAAGCGCCTTTACCCACGAACCATCTCACTGTCCTGTTTGGGAGCTCTTTTAAGCCCTAGGTCCAACGCGTACCCAAGCTAGGACAAGGGAATGGGGCATGGGTGAGCACCCTTCTCCCGAGATTCCAGGGCCCTGCCCAACCCGGGCAAGCGGGTGGTTGACCCAGTCCTTCACTGTCCGGAGGGGCGGAACAGAGCCCGGCACGTGGCGCCGCGTTTGCGAAAGTGTTTGGGATCCACCTGCTCTCGGGAGCCCCCTTCCTTAAGGCGGAAAGAGGAGTCTTGTCGCGAGGCAGCCCAGTTTATCGACAACTCCAAGCTACCTTCTCTGATCTTGGGTAGGGGTGGTGGCGGGGACGAAGCGTGAAGCCCCCAAGCCGCGTTGCCAGAGTCACCCACGCCTGCTTCTTTGGAGGTGGTTTACGTTCGGGGCGCCGGTGGCCTTGCACACACCTGGTCGCCTCTGATCTGGTTTCCTGGGCCACCTACTGGCTCGGGAGTGGGTCCTGGGTTGCCAGAGTGTGAGTGACTGCAGGCTCCCTAGGGGGCGGCAGAGCAAGCCCCTGACAGACTTCCATTCCCTCATCTTTGCTTCAACTGAACCAGGACCTCATAGCAAGTTCTTAGGCAGGGTGTGGGTGGTACAGAGTGGGCACCTTCCCCGGTCCTGACCGCCAAGGGGCGCAGCAGCACGTGTCCGCCTCTTTCCGTGGACGAGGGTTAGAGATTTGTTTAGAGTTCGGGTGCCAAGGGATGAGAAGTTGAGCTCAAGGAAGGCGGAAGCTTCCCGCACCTGGACTGTGATGTGTGTCCAGGTTCCGGCCCTCAGGCCCGGTGTAGGTGGGGTAGGGTCCCCCAGAGTCGAGGAGGTCATGCGTGCCCTCTCTATTAAGCTCTGCGTTGTCTCTCTAGAGAGAATGAATAGCCTTGTCAAGCGGTTCCCAAAGTCCCCAGATTTCTGAGAGGCGAGCGTAGACACTCGCGCCCTCTGTCTCGCCAGCGCCAGCAGCTCAGGAGCAGAAACGACTTGGTCCTTCTGGGCTGCTTGGGCTAGCGCAGACGCGGGAAGAACAGCGAGGGCCTGGGATAGGGCGAACCACACCCCAGGCTAGGGGAGGACCTGACCCCATCAGACACGGCTTCTAGGGCGTCTCGGCCGCCTTCCGGCGAGAGCCTGGGACCTGATCTTTTTTGGGGGGCACCAGCTTGCGGACACACTGAACCCGGTTCTTCCTTGAGCAGGTGCCCTCTTCTGCTAATGCTAAGGCCTCTGTGTTTCGGAAGCTTAGTGTCAGGACTGAGAGCCTCTTTTAAACGCACTCGGAAAACCCCCTTAGTTCCCGCGGTTCCTACTTCCTGGGTTTGTTAGCGCAACTGATCGGAAAACCTTGCGTGTGGGTGGCTACTCTTATTCTCTAAGGTGATGGGGAACGGTTGGCTGGAAAGACATCTATTTTAATTTTAGTTACTTTATTTTAGACCGATCTGGATTTAAAGAAATGTTTGTACATCCTAGAGATGGAGCAGGAAGATGGTAAACGACTTTATTCTGTGGATGGGGGAGGCATGTCCACTACAGGTTCTGGCCACCGGGCTGATGGTATCAAGGATTGCATAATTGGCTTCGGAATCAAACCGAAATAGTCCCTGCCTCCAATTCCCTCTTTGAAGTCAATCTCCGTGTACTGTTAGGATAGACCAACAAAATTAACTCTGGAGAATTATCGACCTTGTGTTTGAAATGAAAAAAAAATCAGTTATAATAATTGGGCCAATTTATTTCGTTTCTTGAATTTAAAAACATTAACATTCATTGTTATTTTGGGGCTTGAGTGGTAAATCCCAGGCTCGGCAGCATTCTGTGGAAGGAAGCTTTGCTTTCTGCCTTTCTGTGGGGTGAGGAGTGTCCATCTCTCCAAGGGTGACTTCTCTGTAGCCCCCTCCCACTTCCCCGCTCCTCCACTCCCCACCTTGCCCATTGCGCTGGAGGTTTATTCTGCCTGGAACCTACTTTCCCGGGCGAGTTGAGGCTTCTGAATGGCCCGCTCGTGCCAGCTGCGGAACCAGCACACTGCAGGGATGGGCCTGGGTGGGGGAACTCGGGTCTGTCTCCTAGCTGCAGCCTGCAGCCAGAGATACACCTTCGGGCGACAGCGGTGACTTGCCGCTGTCCGATTTATTCTGAGCAGGTATTACGGTGAGTTGCCTCTTCAGAACTGGGGTGGGGGAGCGGATAGAGCTTTGGGGGGGGGCAGACTCTAAACAAGCCCTCCTCCCTTACCCCAGCGGGCAGTACAATAAAGTGCCCAGGGAGAGGGGAAGGGGGAGACACCAGGGCTTCAGTTGCTTCCCAGCCCACTTCTTGGTTCTCTGGAGCGGCTGGGGCAGGATGTCAGGAAACCCCGGGAGATGAGACACCTCGGAATGAGGAGTCTCTCTCAAGTGACGTCCATCTTTTAGAGGATGGAGAAAGGTTCTTGAGGTGGGGAAATCCCGGTTGTAAACTCTGCCAATCTCAGGTGTGCCTAGGGCTGGCATAGGAAGCCGCGATGGGTCTGCGGTTGTCAGAGACCGCCCACTGATGCCCCTGCGAGCCCCTGGCGAAGCCCGGTCCTGCGTGAAGCCAGGCAGGGTGAGGGGCGGAGCTAGGCAGGGACTGGCTAGGAGCTGCCCCGCCCGGCGCCAGGGCCTCCGCGCCGGCCCCCGGGGAGGAGTTATGATAATTTCCTTCTCATTAAGGCGTTCGGGTCCCCCCGGCTATCGCCGGGACACACTGAGGGTGAGGCTTCTCCTGTCCACGGCAGCGGCCTCTACACACCCACGGCGGCCACATCTAGGCGCACAACCACCGATGCGCATCCAGTGACCAGGACAGCAAGGCCCGCGTGTGGCGGGGGTGGCGGCAGACGCCTGGCCACCGTGACCCCGATTGTGGATTTACCGCTCGGGGGGTGGGGGGAGCCTGGATTTAACTGGCGACTGTTTTGGGGGACGCCGGACGCCATGTTGTGGAAAATAACAGATAATGTCAAGTATGAAGAGGATTGCGAGGTGAGCAGTGGCTAGGGAACACAGCCCCGCTGGTCTGAGCAGCGTCCCCGGGCCGCAGGCCGAGGCTGGGGACGTTCGCGCGGAGCCCTCGCCTCTGGGCGGGACGAGGGCCAGTCCCGGACACCCCTTGGCCACCTCCTGAGTCCCTTGTTGAATCGGGTCTTGTCCCTCGGGAACGAGGCCTGGCAAGCGCGTGGCAGACCCATCTGCAGAGCTCAACAGTGGGTTCCAACGGAGCGCACGGCCCCCCCTTTCCGTTTTCTCCGAAGAGCGTCCTGTCTCCGACTCAGACGTGGCTTTTTCCCACGAAGTCTGTCCAAAGTGTCCACGGAGGCCTCCCTGCCAGGGACACCTTTGCGGAGTCTTCTTCAAGGCGGGCTTGTCACCTGCCCCGCTACCTCCTCGGGAAAGAAAAAAAAAAATCTAAACAGCTGCAGCTTGGTTTTCAAGAGAAGTGGGGGCTGGGGACTAAGGGGTGGGGGTGAGGCCAGGATGGGGCCTTGAGCGCTCGCGAGTACTCCAGCCTGTCGGACAGGTTGAGCTAGAGTTTCGGAGAGTAGGAGGGAGGGAGGCGACGAGCGGGAAGAGGAAGAAGACTCAGGCGGCGCGAGGAGAGCGCGGGGGAGCGAGGAGAGAAGAGCCAAGACGGCCAGGCTGCGGGAGCGCACCATGTCCGCACGACCTCGAGGGGCTGCCCCTGCTTGCAGGCACGGGCACTTACGCTAGGGGGCGACAGTGCTCTGCTCCTGTATCTCCCCCCCCCCCCCGCTACCCTTGTGACCCCCGGGACTGATGAAGACACATCTTTTAGGAATTAAGCCTGACCGCCTTGGGGCGAGGGGACGTGCGCAGGCAAAGGTTGCCCAATTTGGCAGAGTCTTTTCATTCCTTCTCTGCACCGGGATGTGTGAGAACCTTGTCCGTAGCCGGGCTGGAAGACCTCGCTTCCTAAGGCGCTGAAGGCACGGGCCTGGCTAGCAAGGATCACAGCTCCGGTCCCGCGTGTAGGCGCTCGAGTCCCTGCGGCCGAACTACCTGGCCTTACCTGGGAACGACACTCCTGCGGCGACCTCGCCTTGAAGGGAGTGAGAGGGCGGGGTGGTCCGTAGGGCGGGGGAAATGAGCTCTTCGGCTTCGCGCATTATCCGCGCAGGCTCCTTTTGGCGCGCTGCAGCAACATGGGCGGGATGGTGAAAGAGGGGTCTTTGCGCCGAGTTCGCCGCACGCCGACCTCCTGGGGTGGGGATTACCGCCACAGCCGCGGCCTCACCCCGACGGTGGCCTGGCGCTCGCCCTTGGCACCTCCGAGCGCCGCCCGCAGCGTAGCTCCCGTGCGTTCTCCAGTGTGCCCGGAGGACTCGCTCCCACAGGTCTTAGACTGGTTTACAACGAAGTCCCTGGGGCGCTTTGTCCCCGGCTGCCCTAGGGCTCAGGGGCGGGTCGAGACGGGTGGGGCGAGCCTGGTGGGGTGCCCAGGTGCCCCTCCCTTGGCTTGCGTGTTCGCCGTAGCAGGGGTTTCGTCTTAACCGGGTTTCTGCTGTTTCTCTCCTAGGATCGTCACGACGCGAGCAGCAATGGGAACCCGCGCATCCCCCACCTCTCTTCTGCCGGACAACACCTCTACAGCCCCGCGCCACCTCTCTCGCACACCGGGGTTGCAGAGTATCAGCCGCCCCCGTACTTCCCGCCGCCCTACCAGCAGCTGGCGTACTCTCAATCCGCTGACCCCTACTCGCACCTGGGGGAGGCTTATGCTGCTGCCATCAACCCCCTGCACCAGCCTGCGCCCACCGGCAGCCAGCAGCAGGCCTGGCCGGGTAGACAGAGCCAGGAGGGCGCTAGCCTGGCCCCGCACCATGGCCGCCCTGCCGGCCTGCTACCCCACATTTCAGGGCTAGAAGGGGGTGCGGTGAGTGCCCGGAGGGAAGCCTACCGCCGATCCGACCTGCTGCTGCCACACGCACACGCTCTGGAAGCCGCTGGCCTGGCAGAAAACCTCGGACTGCATGACATGGCTCACCCCATTGAGGAGGTGCAGGTGAGCCGCAGGGGCTAGGGAGAGGCCATCTTACCGCCTCACTTACCTTCCAGCCGCTCCACTTTCCCCACAACTTAAAAGAAACTGTCATTTCTCCTCCCCAGAATGTGGACGACCCGCACCTGCTTCTGCACGATCAGACCGTCATTCGCAAAGGTAAACATTGACCACTGTTGGTGCGGCCCCAACCTGGGAAGTTGTCCCTTTTCTGGCAAAGGGGAAGTGTTAAGTGGTTAACGTGGGTCATCTAGTGAAGGGGGACCTGGCGATGTCTCCCACCTTTGTAGAAGGAGAAAGAGACATTATTTTCTGACCTGAACGAAAAAACTCTGAGGACCTGTAAATTTTAAAAGATTCTTGGTGGTGGTGGTATTTTGTTCATTCTGTACCTCCCTAGTGCTGGCATTGGAGGTGGGAGACTTCAATTTAACTTGAAAGCGAGATCAAATGTTTTCTGATTCTATGGCAGCTTTTTTTAAAACTGTTGAACAAATTGATTTAATTTTACTTTTTAGAAATAAAGTTTATCACGGTGGGAGGGGGTGTAGATCTGTACGAAGGTCAAAATCCGACCCAAGCCTGTTGGTGGTGGCACACGCCTTTAATACTATCAGGCAGAGGCCGGCAGATCTCAGGAGTTAGGGGCCAGCCTAGTCTACAGAGTGAGTTCCAGAACAGTCAGTGCTACACTGAGAGTCCCTGTCTGGGGCGGGAGATGGAAAGCCAACCTGCAGAAGTCCGTTTTCTCTTGCCGCTCTTTGGGCTCCAGAGCAAGCACTTTTAATGCTGGGCACTCGCTGCTGTAGGGGGGATTTTACTTCCTCCGCCTTGCAGAGCTATTGGAGAGGCCCTTGACTCTAACACTGTTGAGTCGGTTACTCCTAATGTACTGCCTTAATAAGGACAGCCTTTAGGGGTTTTATAGGAAAGAGGGGGTTGGGGAAGGCGAGCTACAGTGAGTGGGTGGCTCTTGATTAAGTTAAAGTTATCAGTCTGAGGGGAAATGGAAGCACCCTAAAATTACAGGTATCTGTGGTCTTCAAAGTAAACTGGAAGAGGGTGGGCAGGGTTGGGAGAAAAACCTGGAAAACAAACTAACATCTCTGGCTAAACTTAACCAGAGCCGGTTAATCTGTGTTTCTGAATCCCCTGGTGTCAGCGGCACTGAAGGGCAAAGGGCTTGGCGGCTGATCTGAGTCCTGAAGTTTCAGCTCCCTGACGGAGGAGGAGGATGCCATTTATTTCGTATTGAAGCAGTCTTCAGAAAGCAAATGTTTTAATTAAACAGATTACTGTGGTGGCCAGGAACTGGGAGGAAAAAAAAAACCAGCTCCTCCACACATGGAATCTCGACTAATTAAGGTTCCGGAGGTGTTAACTCATGATTTCAGACTGCAGCCTTTGAAGAACGAACGTGGCTCTTAGAAGCCTTCTTGCACTACGTAGCTCTGTGTGCAGACTTTACCAAAGGCTGAAATCAGCTTTGACTTGCCCTTTTGATGAGATCTCTGCCCCCTCCTGTTCTAGTGTCAGGACAGCACCTGTTCTACTGTCCCCCACAGGCCCCATCTCAATGACCAAGAACCCTTTGGGCCTCCCCTGCCAGAAGGACCTGGTAGGAGCCGTTATGAACCCCAGTGAGGTCTTCTGCTCCGTTCCTGGAAGACTGTCCCTGCTCAGCTCCACGTCCAAATACAAAGTGACAGTGGCCGAGGTACAGAGGCGACTGTCACCACCTGAATGCCTAAATGCCTCGCTCCTGGGAGGTGTGCTCCGAAGGTGACACATGTTCAGGGCCCCCTGGGGGATGGGCAGTTGGAGGTGTGTGTGAGGGCCTGGAGGTATTTTTATCATTTCTGTAACTTTTATATCTCACCACTGAATTCTAATCTGCGGAAAGAGAGCTTTTTAGTGCTCGGCTTCTTTTCCAGGTGCCAAATGCAAAAGGTGTAAAACAGCAGTAACAGGTTAACATTTGAGATCAGGCTGCACCAGCTGCATGGAGGGGGTGGGGGGCTCAACTTTGAGTGTTTTGTTCCCCCAGGGAGTTTCTTGGGGACTGCTAGCTGAAGGTTTTTCTTCACCCCCACTGTGGCAGTATTCTGTGATTTTTTTTTTTTTTTTTTTGGCTCAGGGAGGCTGGTTTGTTTTTTTGTTTTTTATTCTTTGAGAGTAGCCAACATTCTTTTTCCCACAGAGCAAAATCCAAAAACGGAGGCCGGTCCTTGCGGGAGAAGTTGGACAAAATTGGCTTGAACCTTCCAGCTGGGAGACGGAAAGCCGCCCATGTCACCCTGCTCACGTCTCTCGTGGAAGGTCAGTGCAGCTGAGTTTTCATTTTTACTGACTTCAAGACTGCGGGAGGAAACATTGACTGTAAGAAGTGAGAGCCACACGCAGAAATGAAAGCAGTTTAGGCTGTATGTCCCTTGCTGAGAATCCTGATTCTTTACCTGATAACGTGACATTCACGCCTCTGTTGTTTGGGGTCTTCACTCAGGAAGCTGATCGATGTTACTAAAATTTTACTTTTCTGAACCTATGAAATCCTACGGAGCGGCAGACCGGTCCTTGTGAGGTGAACTAGCTTTGAGAGTTGAGGTGCTGTCTGTGGATGGTAGGCCCATCAAAAGTCACAATTGCTATCTTCTGCTGCGCTTTTCCTAGCTGTGGGTGTAAGGATCCTGCTCAGGGGATGCATTGGGCACTGGCTCAATTCCCCATTTCTTACTTTCCATCAAAAGGTTGCTTAAGGCACGAAACCCCTGGTCTACAAATGAGCCCTTTTCCTCAGGTCATAGCTGCGTCACTGCGGGTTTTGAATGTAGACCCTTCCCCCAGCCTGGAAGGTAGCCAAGAATGCCATGCAGCCTTTAAAAGAAAAGTAAATACTTAAAACAAAACAAAACCAGAAAAGGGGGGCACATTATTATAGGAAGCCAGGAAGAGGGGATTAGATGCCAGTGCCTCAGCCTAAGTCCCCAGGCCCCTGTGCTGGCTGGTTAAGGTTGAGGATGGCCACAGAAGCGGGCTCTCCAGAGCAGAGCTGTCTTTGAATGCCACATGGTATGTCTGCAGTGCTGAAAGGGACTTGGCAGAACCGCCCCCTCTTCCCCAAGCCTCTTCGCTGGTACCTCTGGAGGTCAGGGCCAGCAAAAGCCTCACTGAGAACAGCTGTCTTGCATGGAGAATGGGGTGGGGGTGGTTCTGATGAGGTTCTGCCAGGCTTCCTTACTAACTACACTGAGAAATTTAAACAAGAGATCGGGCGTTCCAGCCAAGGCACCTGGATTCTGACTCACCTTAGGCCTGCCTCTCCACAGTCTGGGTTTTTGGAGTTATCGGGGTTTGAACCCTGAAGCCAGGTCACCTTTACTGGGAGAACAAATGATGATCCCCCCCTCCTCACACACACACTTACTCTTTACTCTGCTTCCCACTCTCCCACCCCCCAGAGCTGGGACAAGTCTAGGAAATACCCACCCTCCACTGTCTTCCTAGTTTGCTGATTAAACCCAGGGTGGCCTTGAACCTTAGGCTCCTAGACACCAAACACCAGAACACCAGGTCACAAGCTACTCTGGCTTTTTTTTTTTTTTTTTTTTTTTTTTTGAGACTGGGTCTCTGGTCTTCCAGTCTGACTGTGTTACCTAGAGTGAACTTGAACTCTGAGCCTCCCACCTTCACTTCTTAGAATTTTTTTTTCTTTTTAAGGAGTGGTGGTGTACACCTTCAATCCTAACACCAGGGCTGCTGGCTCTTGAGTTCAAGGCCATCTAGGTCCACAGGTTACAGGAGCCAGGGCTACAGAGTGAAACCCAGTCTTGAAAGAAAGATTCTAGATTACCAAAGTATGGAGCAATGGTGGACATTAGAAGATCCTGCCTCAAACCAAGAGAACCAACTCCTAAACATCCATGTAGCAGCGCTCAAACTCATAGGTGCATACATGGACAATTAAAGAATAACAAAGAGGCGGTGGTGGTGGTGGTGGTGCACACCTTTAATCCCAGCACTTGGGAGGCAGAGGCAGGTGAATTTCTGAGTTCTAGGACAGCCAAGGGCAGTTACACAGAGAAACCCTGTCTCAATCTGCCACCCCATGTCACCCCAAATAACACAGAAAAGTGAGCACCCAACGACAGCTCAAAGTGTCCTGTATCTGGTTTCAGTTTACAAGGCAAAGTAACTGTACTGACCACAGCCACCCTCAACCCTGATCATCACAGGTGAAGCCGTCCACTTGGCGCGGGACTTTGCTTATGTGTGTGAGGCTGAATTCCCCAGTAAAGCAGTGGCCGACTACTTAACCAGACCACATCTCGGGGGACGAAATGAGATGGCCACGAGGAAGAGTATGCTGCTGGCGGCACAGTGAGTATTTGACTTGTGCAGAATTCTGCCGCCAAAGGAAATGGCCAGCCAGAGCGGCTGCAGCCTCTAGTAGAGCCTCGAAGAGGGAGCCATGGTGAATTGCTCCATCCCAGGTGGCTGGGAGGCTGCTGACTCAGCTCACAGCAGTCACAACACCCTGCTCATTGTGTTTGCATATATTCGAGAATTTGTGTAGCTCGGTTGTGTTTGCCGACTGTGCATAAAGCTAAGCCATCCTCGGCATCACGTAAAAACAGATCCAGTGGTGTATAAAACGGAGCTGGTGTGTGCCTGTAATGCCAGCGTTTGGAACGCGGGAGCAAGAAGAGCAAAAGTTAAAAGTCATCCTTAGCTACAAAGTGAGTTCCAAGGCTAGTCTGGGCTACTTGAGACTGGCTCTCTTGACCTTGGCCAGGTGACTGGACTTAATCCACTTATCTCTTCTTGTGGCTGCCGAGTAGCAGATAGCACTGGGGAAATCGGGCCCTGGCATGTGGGAGTGTGCACTGGGGGATTCTGGGGATTCGGGCCCTGACTTGTGCTAGGTGCTAAGCATGGAGGTGTGGCGGTCCGATACTAGTATGTCTCACTTGAGAGTGTTTGCCTAGCGTGCATGCAAGCCCCACATGATCCCCAGCACTGCATAGACCAAGAATAACAGAGAAGACTTCCTCACAGGAAAGCTATAAATTCACGGCTGTTCTTGGCTCCTTTGTGGGTTCAAGTCCAGCCTGCAACCTTTTGAGATGTCTCAAAAACACTAATCGATAGAAAGTAAGTAAACACATTCTCCTTATTTATTCTAATAGGATCAGGGAGATTTAGTCTGTTACGAGCCAGGTAAAGTTCACCAACTGACTTGTCTCCACAGGCAAGTGTGCAAAGAATTCACAGACCTTCTGATTCAAGATCGAACACCCAACGGGAACAACAGGCCCACTCCAGTCTTGGAGACGAACATACAAAACTGCCTGTCTCATTTCAGTCTGATAACTCACGGCTTTGGCAGCCAGGCCATCTGCGCCGCGGTGTCTGCGGTGCAGAATTACATCAAGGAGGCTTTGCTCGCCATTGACAAGTCCTATATGAACCCGGGAGACCAAAGTCCTGCTGAGTCCAACAAGACCATGGAGAAAATGGAAAAGCACCGGAAATAAAGTGGGGTGCACGGAGGCCAGAGTGTGAAGGGAGAGGACCTGAGAAGCACCAGCCTGGGTGGGGCCAACAGTTACCATCCACCTCACCCTGGACCTGCCTGCCTTCTTGGAGTCGGTGGCTTTTCTATTAACCCCGGACATACTATCCCGAAGCGATTTGGTTTGATTCTTTTACTCATTAAACATTTATTTTTTTGGAAATCCATTTCCTCTCTGAAAGGTGCTATGAGTTTTAGAATCCCTTTGTGAAATCCGCCTGGGCTAAGGAGAAACCCCACGCTGAGCTGCTGACATGGCAGTTGGATGGGAGATACAGGGATCAATCATAACTTATTTTTTTTTCAGTGTTAAGATAATGTCTGGCTTTTATGTCCACTAAAATATTTATCTAAAAAATTAGTATTTATCTAGCTTTCCCCGCCCCGTCAGTGATCACACCTTCTGGTAGGAGGCTAAGGTCGGATGTTCTTAGCAGCTATTCACAGAGGTGTGTGACAGGCTTCCAGCCCCGCGTTCAGAAGGGGGGGTGTCCTGGTTCTAAGGAATTTGGAAAGCAAAGCCTGCTGATTGTTTCACGTTTCCTTCCTCTTTTAAAAAAAAATGTTGAAAGTTTAAAATTCTTTAGCTAGTAGAGTTTTTTAAGTGACCTGTTCCTTTAAGGTATAGAAGCTTTATTTGCTTATTTATTTCATATCTTGATTTTTTTTTCCACGTAAACTTGAAGAGGGTAGGCACACAGCAGCGCCTGTCATCCCCAAATCCCCCAGGAGGCTCTGTGTGGAGAAACTGTTGAGTGTACAGATTTTATTTATGCATAATTTAATGGGATCTGTAAATACTTCTTAGGACTTTTTGTGAAATGGGATTCGATTTTAATATTAACTTTTAACGGTGATGGGTAACATAGCACCTAGATTTTATGCAGATGCACACAGGGTGTTAAGATTGACACTGATGCGGGGCAGCTCAGGCACTATCTATTTGGAGCTTTTTAGAAAGCAACAACGTCTCGTTCCTTTGGGCTGAACCAGAAGGGTAGAGTATAGCTTGTGTGGGTGAAGTGTGGATTGGAATGGAACTTCTATGCCTGTCAGTGCTCCCAAAGTAATTGTGCGTATAATGCCTGTATAATAAAAAATATTCTCGATAGAATCTGTGAAAGCCTGGTTCTGACCCATTTTTTTTTTTCCCGGCTCCTAGGATGGGTAGGCTCAACCAGGGCTAACTTGAGGCTTGAATGTGGCTTAGCTAAGTCTATAAATGGAGTAAGCAGTCTTGGTGCTGTGGAAGGGTCTTCTTTTCTCTCCCTAATGACGATGCTCAGCTGCCCCATATCCTTCGCACTCTCATCTTCTCCCTCGTTACCTGAGTGCCAGCACCTGGGGGTTCAGAGAGGGAGCAGTTCGCCACTGAGGGGGTTAAATAAATTTTGCTTTTGTGATGGTCCTCCGGTAGGCTTAGCATGTGCTCTGCTGCTCAAGCATAGGGCCACAATTTTAAGAAGCGTTTTTTTATCTGAGAAGCATTGGGTATCAATTACAACTTTAAACCGTAGTTGGTTGAATGGGCTTGAGGGCTACACTGGTGTTCTCCTTGGGCAGGTCCTAAGGGGAGGAAATAGCATCAATTAGACCCAAGAATGGTGACCTGGGGGCATCAGTGTGTTCAATGGAAAGGGAATTCTCTTGTTACCGGAGACAGTGAAGGCTGTCCTCTCGGTTTCTTCATTTTGTCTGACCGACTGGTGAGTTAGAGGGATTGCAGGAGCCCGGGGGCCTGTGTGTTTTCTGGGCTTTTGGAACTTGGATGCACACTGCCTGTACTCAGTTTCTAGTTCAAGTGGCCTGGCATAGCCTCCAGGAAGTGAGAGGTTAATAGTTTTGCATGCATGGCTGAGCTTCCAAGGGAGGTGGGGGCAGGAGGATTTTCCACTTTGGATAAAGTCATGGCTTCAGCTCCGTTTTTATAATCCTTAATTCCTAATTCCCTCCCCAGTGCACAGCCGCTCCTGACTTCACATTGGCATGGGGCGACGTTCTTAAGTAATTTAAGCACTGCCAACCCCATACTTGCTCTTGGCAGCTCGTCCGTGGTCCCTGTACATCCCCATTAAGTTGGATTTATCTGGATGATGTGTCAAGATCACAATTGGCTTTGCTTCCAAGCACAGCAAAGAGGTCTGAGGTTGGCAGTTGTTTCTCAATCAAGACTCAAGACGCTGGGTGTAGAAAGGAAATCATGGGGGGCAAAGGGCTGAGAGAATAAGGGTGGCTTTCTTATCGGCAAACCTGCTTCAGGACCAGAGGGTGGATTTTAAAGGCTCCGGACGTGCAGGCAGCCTGCTGGGAGCTCCCTAAAAGTCAAACGACCAGAGAACCACAGACAGGCTCTCATACCTGGTTCAGTGGTCACATTCTTACCGATACCCTTAGAAATACAGGGGGTGAGTTCCCTATACCTGGTGTCCAAAGCCTGGTACCCTGTGGAGCAGAACCAGATCCTTCACAGGGAACCCACAGACACCTTGCCTGACAATGTTCCCAAGGAGCTGTAGCCCACTAGGAAAATAAGGGGCTGTGCCTTCTGGCATCAGGTTCAAAAGCACTTGAACCTGAGCAGGATGGGTTTCCGTTTAAGCTTAACCTAAGCGAGCACCCTCTGCTTTCTTCCTGCTCTCTGGCCGTATGCTGGCCACCCCACACACTGCTGCCTTTATTTCTGTGTCTGGTGTCTGTGTGCGCGTGCGGGGGCGTGTGTGCATGCTTGCGGAGGGTACGTCAGGTGTCTTCCTCTATGGCTCTCCACCTTAATTTTGGAGATGGCAATCACTCAGGGAACCGCCAGCCCACTGATTCGGCTAGGCTGCTGGCCAGAGAGCTCCAGGGGCCTCCCGTCTAGCTCCCCAGCTCTGGCATTCTAGGTGTGTGCTGCTGAGCCCAGCTTTTTAAAAGAAATCTATTCGTAATTTTTACGTTCTGTGTCTGTGTGAGTGGTGGCATGTATGTGTACTGCATGTGCCTGTATGTAACTGGAGTTACAGGTGGTTGTGAGCCGCCGAATGTGGATGGAGGGAACCCAGCCCAGGTCCCCTGCAAGAGCAAGTGCTCTTAATGGCGGAAGCATCTCTCCAGCGCTCCTTGCCTGACTTTTTTATGGGTGCCAGGGACCCAAGCTGCAGTCCTCACGGTGCACAACACTGAGCTGACTGAGCCATCTCCCTGGCAGCTCTCTTGGTGTTTTGAAACAAGGTTTTGCTATACAGCTATGACTGACCTGAAACACACTGTGTAGCTCAGGCTGGCCTTCTACTTTACTATCCTTCTGTCTCCACCTCTGGGGGTGGGGCTAGGATTATAGGCGTGCACCACCAAGCTCAACTATGAGCTTCCCTTTTTTAAGGCATATGTTGTCGCTGCCCTCTGGGAAAAGTATTCAACAGGCTCCTTTGTCCCAGCTTGCTGAAGGAAACCCACTGTGTCTGAAGGCACACGCTGTCCGGAATTCCATGCCCATAAGGGAAATCTCGGCAGGACTGTACATCGCTTGGCTGGCATCCGGGTACCTGGCACCTACCAGGTGCCCCCTTCCCCTGCATACAGCACACCTGTAGGTCCTCTGTGAGGACGGGGAGTGTTTTCTGTGCTGTTCACGCTTGTCTTATCTTCCATGTGCATGTGATTTGAGCCGTGGGTTAGGCAAGAGACAAGGCGGCTGTTTCTCATTTGAGATGATTCCGAAACAATGGCGGGCGTTCTTTTCTTTTGGGGGGTCTGATGTGAGGCTGAGCCCTGGGACCTCAACTTCCTGGATTTGAACCGTTAAAAACCAAAGCGAAACAAGGTAGGGTCACGGACGGGTGAGAAACAAAGAGACTTCTCTGAGGGCCGGGCACAGCCTGGGGCCCTGGAGCCCACTGTCTTGCTTCCCCAGGAAAACACAGGCTAGTGTATGTTCCCGAGGAGGCTGCAGTGCCTTCTGATGACCTCGGAATTTCTCCGGTCTTCACTTCCTGCAGATGGGTAGAGCAGTGTCCCAAAGTCACAGTCAAATCTGCCTGCCTTTATGTGCCTGGGAATGACTTTGAAGTGGCTGTTGTCCATCTGTTGTATGATGAACGTATGGTTCCTTGAAACCTATTTGGCAGATGAAGGCCTGGTGCTGGGGCAGATAATGGGGCTCTCTGGGTCCTGTATTGGCAGTGACCCTTTGCAAGGTCACCTTCAACCAGCTGAGCCCAGTGGGCTGTGCAGAGTTCCCCTGGGGGTGGCAATGGAGGAAGGTCTTTCTGTTTTCCACACTGCGAGGCTTTGACTTACAAATGTCCCTTCTGGACTAGAAGTTTCTCTTGGATGATATATTGACTTCCCTCTGTCAGAGCTGATGTGCCTTGGGCTTCTCTTCCTGTCCACAGCCCCCATTTGCCTCCTGAGGCCTGTGGGTCTCTCTCCTATAGGAAGGATGGAGGCTCTGGGTGCCATCAAAACCTAACCCTTTCCTGGCTCTGTGACACCCAGGTTGGCAGTTTGCCTAATGTCCATTCTGATGCCAAGAAGCAAATCACACCTTGAGTGTCTTTGTTGATAACAGGGAACTTGATCTTCTGTGGAGATGAACTTGACCTCGGGAACTTTAAGTGACTTACAGTAGAGTCCGTACAGTAGAGTCCGTACTTCACGGATCACTCGCTGGTTTTGGCACAATGATACAAGAAATTTCTTTTTTTTGGTTTTTCGAGACAGGGTTTCTCTGTAGCTTTGGAACCTGTCCTGGAACTAGATCTTGTAGACCAGGCTGGTCTTGAACTCACAGAGGTCTGCCTGCCTAGGCACGTACCACCACTGCCCAGCAACACAAGTAATTTCCTTGGTTCTTTTGGACAACATCTCCCTGGATGAAATGAACAGGGGAAAAGAGTAGAAATTGAAATCGAAAGGCCTGATTTTAGAGACCTAGCCAAGGGATAGCTTTGTTAAGATTTTTGAGGTCAAAGCTGTTTTAGAGTGGTGTGTGTGTGTGTATATATGTATGTATATATATATGTGTGTGTGTGTATTATTTGGAGAGTGTCAACATTTTTTAAGGAGGGGTTTTACAAATAACCCTCACAAGTGAAAAAGGTTGAAAAGATGTCATGGCATCTAGCCCTCACTGGCTCTAAGCCATTGGGATTTCTTAGGCAGGTTTATGTTCCCCAAAGAATCTGTTAAAGTAGAGTCTAGGGAGAAAGCTCTGTCGGTATAGTGCTCCTCTAGCAAACCAGAGAGCCCTGAGTTAGAGTTCCAGAACCCATGTTTAAAAAGCAGTCTGTACAGGTGAGCAGTCTGTACTAGCACTGGGGAAGCAGTGACAGGAAGAGGCCTGGCTCTCACTGGCCAGTCAGGGACACCGAACCAGTGAGCTTCAATCTTACTTAGGGTTTCTATTGCTGCAAAGAGGCACCATGACCACAGCAACTCTTACAAGGAAAACATTTAATAGGGGTGACTTGCTTACAGCTTCAGAGGTTCCGTCCATGATCATCATGGCAGGAAGCATGGCAGTGTGCAGGCAGGCATGGTGCTAGCTACATCTTGATCAGAAAACAACAGGAAGTAGACTCTTACACTGCATGGTATCTTGAGCATAGGAGACCTCCAACAAGGCCATATCTCCTAAAAGTACCACTCCCTGTGAGATTATGGGGGCCAATTACATTCAAACTACCACAGCAGGGATAGAGGAAGACATATGTCCACATCAGGCTCATGCACCTGCACACCCATGTGATGTGCACGAAATACACACACACACACACACACACACTATGCTAAAGTCCTAACCCCCAGTACCTCAAAATATGACCCTATTTGGACTTAGGGTTGTTTCAGATAGTAAGATGGATCATAGTGGTGTGGCCCTCATCCAATACAACTGGTTACAAAGCAACAAAAAGAGCTAAAGATAGCAGATGTCTGTACTCCCAGCATTCAG